TGACCACACACAATACATGCTATCTCAAGGTTTTCAGAGGGGGCTTGGAAAACTAATGGCCAATGAATCAGATATCATGTGCATTGGAATTTAGTATTGCCATAAGGTTTAATTTTAGAATTTTATGTCATAAAATTAATTCTTGTTTGTGAATTAATTGCCAGTCAGGCAGCTGATGCCATATGCCATATATTTCAGAGTCTTCTGGCAGAAGCCATTCTGTCAAGCAAAGAAGAAGACATTCCCCCAGCATTAACTGAATTTGGTAAGAGGACTACATGTATTTTTGAATCTAAAAGACTAAAATTAAAACTGTACTAGTCTAGTAGGTTCTAGTATATTCACCCAAGCCATGAATCTAATATTTTTCTAGTTTTGCTTGATATAATATTCTGAACTCCCAATATATGTGTTCATATTAATATCAACATTTATCACATTGTTATTGTAGTTATTCATATCATAGTAGTAAGCTAAGGCACGCATGCTGATAGATACCATGTGATATTTCAGTTGGTGACCCTGTCACAGCTAATGGTGTCACTAAAGCCATAGAACAGGTGTTTGAGAAACTGAGGAGTCTGGGAGCATGTAGAGATGACTTAAAACAATTCAGGTAAGTTGGAAATCAATCACTTAACTTTTGGTAGGCTTTCTGATAGAAAATAAGACATGCACTTTGGGCAATTTGATTTATACATATTTGCTTGTACCAAAAATCAAATTAAAGTGTTTGTCATGAGTTATTAGCCAACAGTAATGCTTTATATTGAACATAAATATGTTCAACCTAGCAATTATACTTCATTCATTAGAATATAAATATATGCATGTATCTGGCCTATGTATTCCAGGACTGTGTACAACCCAGGTAGTCTGACATCCCAAGCCTCCCATGTCCCAGTGTTAAAACAGGTGCTCCAGGAGATCTTTAACCCAGCCAAGACTGACCTGCTGGACATAGAACACAAGTCTAGTGGACTCAAGGATCTGCTCAAGTCTGGGTTTGGGTATGGTCGAGTCTCAGTGTATATGACTCACTGTCTGTCTCTCTGTTTGGTTGTCTGTCAGTGACTGTCTGTCCATCTATCTTTGTCTTTTACTTATTTTTCAATACACGAATACAAAATGTATTGAAACTTATTGATACTATGAAGGGATTATTTTATGCTACGAATAGTTGTATTGAAAATCCTTGATACTATTAAGGAATTATTTTATGTTTTACAAATAATTCAATTTTTATCCTTTTATCTAATTTTTGTTTGATATTCCATCAGTATAAAAACCAACAATATATTTTAGCTTTCAGTACTCAGTTCTGCTATGTATTAAGTGGCATTTCCTATTGTTTCAGCCTGTTTATGAATGTGAGCAAACCCCGTCCCAGTGACAGCCCCCTGCTGATCTTGTTCATTATAGGGGGCGTCACTGCATCAGAGGTGAAATTAATCAAGGACACTGTGACCTCGTATAAGACTGGAACTCAGGTAAGTGTCAGAATACCAATGATTTTGTAATATGATGACCTTCATTTAGCAATCACTTTTGGTAGGTTTCATGAAAAGAAGAGAAGAAATGTCATCTCTTGGTTTTAATTTTAAGTTTGCAGAAAATTTGCTGCAAATCTGCAAGAACAATATTTACACTGCAAATGAGGCCTGAAGACTTTCTTGCAAACTTCCCCCAAACTTTTAATCTTACTACAAATTTGCAGCAAATGTGATTCTTTTTGCGACAACCTGAAAACAGTTTTACTGTATGGTGTACACAAAACATTTCTACAGTTTATTTTCTTGTAGGTTATTGTTGGCAGTACAAAGCTGTTGAAACCAAGTGATGTACTGGATATGATGTTTTCTAACCCGCTGTTAGAGAGCTGAGGAAGGTCTTATAATGGGGTTAAATTAATCTGAATTGACAGTTCATAACTTGCCATCATTTCTGAAATTCTGAGTGAAAATTCTCACTGGACACTGAACAGAATTTTGCACAGAATTAGCCAGAAAAAAATCTGTGAAAATCTAGTGAAAAAAAAAAATCTGCCTCTGGTCCTGGAAGTAGTTAGCAGTATGGTGATGTAGATGACAATGATGAAATCTGCCGGATTCTTCACTAATTGTGATCTTGTTGATATTGAAGTTTCAAATTGTGTACAGCTTCTGTTAATTACATTATTTTCCAGCCTGAAAATAAAGAATAGATAAAAAACATGCATGAATTCATAATGTTGGCAACTGTTCTCATACTTGTGATTAATCCAGTACTACATTATTATTTTCAATCATTTTTGCTATTTATTTTGGTAGTCTACAATGTTATTTTCAGTCATTTTTCTGCTGTTTACTATGGTAGTCTGGAGTGTGGGGCCAGTTTCATAATAAGTGTTATTTTGTTCAGTATAACTTATTTTTGGACACTGCTGGCTTGATTTTTATTATTATTTTATTTATTTATTTATTTTATTTTATTTTATTTATTTATTTATTTATTTTTGGTGCTAAGTTTTTAAATTGAAATTGTTAAAAAGTATACAGAAGCTGAATGAATAAATGTATCACAATTGCTAGTTGACGGGATTGCTCCCATGTTAACAAAACTCAGTAGTTACATGCACAGAATGGTACAACTTCAGAATTCAGAATGTCATTTACCTTGAAAGTTCCTTACATTTTACATTCTTCTTTTTAAGGAAGTCAAGTTATCATGCCCCTGCACTTCCAAGCTTGAATGAACTGACAATGTAAAAATCTTCTAGCAAGCATTTTATTTACCACATCTATTGAGAATTTTATTAACCACATCTAATAATAGCAAGGCCAGTACAATATTGAGGATTATTACAGACATTTCAGATGTGCATCCCTTCCATACCATTAGAATAACTAATGTTGAACAACTTTAAACTTTTCAATTTCTTCTTAGACTTCCCAAAGTGTGCTTTGATGACAATGTTCTTGTCAACACTCAAAAGTTTGTGTAGAAATTGAAAAAATTAAATTTTTCAACATGATGACAATGCTACTGTGGCACCCAAATTAACTTCCATCAGAAAAATTTATGCAAGTATAATTTTCTTAATTATAAAAGAATTACATTTTGATAATAATAAAACCACCACCTTAAGAATAGTCAATGATCAAATAATACAAAGAAAGAATATGATTGATAATTCTACCACATATACCCAAGTATCTTTGTACTTTATAACAAAGCAAGATACTGACTTAAGTTTTCCCAGAAAAATATATATGTGTTACAAGAACCAATGAATATTAATTACCTTTTAAAATCCCTCACTTAGTTCATAGAGATAAGAGTAAAACAGTTTCTAAATGATGTTATTTATCATTGCTTGGTTGTTGTCACTAGTAATCAGAGAGTGGCAGTAGATAACATCGTCAAAAAAGTATAGTTGACTACTGCTGGGCCTGAGGTTGTTTAATCACTTATGATGTCAAATATAATGTTAAAGGTGTTATTTTGGCCTGCTTTATACCTTTATACCTAATAATAATAAAAAATGAAATAAATAAATTCTTAAGTTTTTTCTAAATCTGGCATTCTCATGATGTAAGTTGGACCTACATGTAGTTCAAATTGGAGCCCTCTCACCTAAGCGCACTTTGTGCCTACGACACACCCTTTTGCCCACGAGAAAAGGGATGGAAATGCCACCAAACCTGCCTAACTAATTTTTATCTATTCATTACTAATGTTGTCCAAATTAGTTTTAACTAGAACATATCAAATTCTTCTGCTGAATCCCGTTTCTTCAACACTGGCTAGGCAGGCCTTATAAACAGTAATTGCCATTGGCAAACTCCAGCCTCAGATTTTTGAGCACGCCCAAATTAAGGAATCCAACCACAATTTTATGGCACGCACTTTACAATAATGGCCATGGGCACAATGCTACAAACCACAAACCATTAATCTGCTTACGGAAATGGCAAATTCGTTTATAAGACCTGATAGTGCTATCCTATGAATAACAGTGTCTATTCGATAAATTTGTTATCTTTCGGACAGTAATCCTGAGGGTATGTGGCCCATCTTTTACCACTGAAAAGGAATATCAGACACAAACTGTTATCTAGTGTTCAGGAAACATCACTTTACCCACAGGCAAACAGTTCAATATAGCTCAGGATAACAATTTTATCAAATGAACACGGTTATCCATAATGTATCAGAAACGGGACCCATAAAATTGAAAAAGAAAACTTTAACTTAATGCACTCTTTATCAAAGGCCCTTTAAGTTGTTTCAAAACTGGACGAAGTCTTGAAGGGTATTTGGCAAAAAGTAAAGGCCATGTGTATGGACAGGGATTTGTCACTGTAAAATCCATTGATGAGAAAAAGTAAAGTGTTAGCTTTTTGTTATTCATATTTTGTTTGTCAATATTTGACTTGCACAGCGTCATTTGAAGTGTTGTGACCATTACTGTAATGCACAGAGAAAGCACATGTCTTGAACAAGCACTTTATATGTAATTGAATCTGCTTGCTTTACTCGTTTTAATTTGTATATCCAATGAGGTTACATGTAATACAGATATTGTTTTTCCTTAGAAGCAAGCAGAATGGCATAAGTTGCAATGCCCATATGTTGTGAGTCCATGGATTTTCAGTTCAAAAAAAATTACGGAGTTTTTTTTTTTCATTTTCACCATTCACATGTACTTTTTGTGCCATCCCTCAGACCTCTTTGAAAGTGTAAAATGTACCTTATAAATTTTGCATGCAGAGTACCCAATTCTTGGTAAAATGCACCTCAGTTTTGATTTTAAGTAACTATTTCATTACATATAAAAAACATTTTATTTGGAATCTTTAAAAATTCTCTTTTGGTAAACTAGTTAAAACACCTATCATTCTCAGTTATGCAGTTGGACAGAAAGTTGGTATTGTTGCTTAGACTGCATTCACATCGAGTTGAGCCATGGATCTGCGGGGGTACAGTCATTAAATCTCGGCTCCATTGGGACGACACATGGGGAGGCATGTGAGAGGCGGGGAGACTATTAAAAGATAAGGTGGTTTTCCTTTCATGTACGTCCGCCATATTTATTTCGTGACTTTGTAGATCCATGGCTCAACTCAATGTAAATGCGGTCTTAGAGATATTTTATTATCTAGAACTGAAAACACGTGGACCAAAACCACGGGCCTACAGTGCCATTTACATATGAAATCACAAAGCTTTATTATGATGGTTAATAATGCATACAAATTACATTTTGATCCATTCACACTTTAATGTTAAAACAAGTTCAAAGGGCCAATATAAGCTATAAATCGTGTTGTCCAGTCTGATTTAGGAACCATCTCGCCATGGTTAACCTCCTAAATCAATCAATTTATGCTGCAGAGGCGAGACTGAAATATGAAGAAAATGATAAATTATTGCCAATTGGCTTTATAAAAATACAAGGCAAACATGTCAATCCAACTCCAAGTATGTACTCAGATGTGCCACAAGCAAATTCACTCACTATAGCCAATTCTCAAAAGGAGGAAGGCATCTCAACAGATACATATGCTTAAGACCCAATACATACGTATGTTCACACACACACACACACATATATAAGCAAAAGTGTATCATTAAGTTTCTTTTTTGGATTACAAAATGCATATGAAAACTTTCTCATCCACACAAAGAGTTTAAATGAAGTAAGACCTTAACAAAATATGCAAAAAACAGCTATTACATGTTTAATTTCGCCTCTTTCATTCACATTACCTTGTTTTCCAGGATAAGTTATGTCCTTGTGGCATTTATTTGTATAATTACCAATATTTGTTGCAACAACTGAAATATGAAATTGTTTTGTATAGGTAGCCATATATGTAACTAAATGTTTTTTATTTGAAATAATAGCAATTAAAAATTTACAAAAGTACCATCCAACAGATGATCAAAGCATTTACTTTTAAAATTATCAAGTTATATATATATATATATATATATATATATATATATATATATATATATGAATGTTTTATCGTTACCTGTGGAAGTGCCTTGTTTCAGCGCTGTTCTTCTGACACTGTTGTCAACTTTAAGCTGCAAGCTTATAGCATAGTGCACTGTACATTACACCAAAATATAACACAAAACATTCAAGTGCTGTGCAGGTAACTTTAAAATTGTCTTTATGAAAGCTTAAACCATTAATTCTGCCAAAAAGGAAAATAGGTCAAGTTCCATTATGTCACAGTCTCCGGATAATCTATTTTAATAAAACAAAATATAATTTACAACCCTCAAAACATAAGAAAAGCGAAATACAAATTATGGGTCCTTTAATTATCACTGACAAAAAAGTTATTTTGGGATTTTGTCTGCCATTTCGAAAATTGCCATTTTACCAACCTATATATGGTTGTTGTGGGTAAAAAAGAGTTGTCACATGTGTTTTAACAGTGTGTCTTAAAAGCATTAATTTCTGCCAGAAAACAGCTATTTATGAAAAAAATTGAGATTTGCCCAACCCCATTCGATATAGTATATCCATACATTGTAACTACGCGTAGCATACATGCTGAGCATCCGTTTTCGAAAATGGTGGAATTACCGACCTAAAAAATACTCATAGTTCAAATTTCCCACCAGAATGGCCTTTTTGACCCATTTGGACTCTAAAAACACCCTTCCCTCCAGAGATTTCCCCCAAAAGTTTTTATTTACCCTACCCCGGTAATGGTATCATAAAATATATAATTTGGTTGTAGTAAAATCCCCGACTAAGGGACCATTCCCAGACCCTATCATACTAACTATGGATCGCTCTATCTCCAAGAGGATTCTCGCTAAATTGCAGTTAACTTAAGCGGCGTAGATGTCTGTCACGCCTATTGAAGCTGCTAGGGGCTAATTAATTATCGTTTACCAGCTTCAGTAGGCGTGCCAGGCATCTTAACCGCTAAAGCTGAAACCCCTTGGAGATGGATCGATCCTGTTAGATCGATCTAGGTATGGAAACCCAGTCTAAAACAAAGCTATTAAGGATAGGGATTATTCACCAAATTAATGATAAAGAAGAAAGAAAGAAAGAAAATTAAATTTGAAAAGGATTTTTAGCTTGAATATAAAAGGTAAAGAAAAGAAAGAGTAAAAAAGAAATAAATATCTCGAAGTCTTTGATTCATCCCCACCCATTCTGGTGCCGATATTGTTTTTCTTTGATGGTTTGTTTGCTTTAACAGGACATGGATTTCTCGATCAATGTGAAATGTTTTTCGATTACGACTGAAACTGAACCTTTTTGGACATGTTATGCTGTTTTAGTTTTTGTAAAATTTCATTACAGAAGTTAACTATTTTGAGGAAAAAATTACGGTAATGACACATTATTAAAACGAGCGGTAAAGCTGTTGCAAATATGCTGTTCCTATTTCATGCGCAAACAAACAAACAAAGAATAAAAAGGTAAAATTAATAAATAGAATTTTACGTTGAAGTTGACAATCACTTTAGAAAAGAAGAGAAGGAAAGAAAAATTTTAAAAAAATGCCTTCTGAAAAATTTTAATCCACCTTTTAGCGTTTAGCAAGAAAAGTCCCCCAAAGGACCATCAGTCTTACTGATGAAATGGTTTCAAATTGTTATTCATCTGACAACAAATTGCAATTTAAATTACGTGCGATTACAAAAAATAATTATTTGGGGATTTTTTATCAAGGGGCTTAATAGAGAGCCGAGTTGTTTAGGGGTACGAATATAATTGTATAAGAATATTTTGAAGATGCAATAATATGGTTTTTGACAAAATCCCAACGAGTGTGAAAAAAACGAAACGTAGCATATTGCACTTTATGCACCAATTTGGAATACTTAGGCTTTAAAGGATCAATATCAATTTAGATATTTGTGCAGTCCACCACGACCTTCACAAACATCGCGTTATCTTTCACATAGGCCGTGTTGGACGCACCCAGCCTTTCCAGCGACAGAAACAACGGGCAGCCACTTGCGATATTCATATCTGACGTCGGCTTCTTGAAGCTGGAGCTGGCAGGGTCTGGTCTGAACGCTTCCACCACGTGCTCACGGTTGCTCTGGTCAAGGATCATGAGGGTGACCTTTTGCTTAAATGGCCACGCTAGAAGAGCGTCGTAATATCCGCGCATGACGACAAAGAAGAGGCTGATGTGGCTGCCTTTCCCCATTCCGTCGCCGTTGAGATAAATTCGGCAGCACATCTTGTAGCCGTGCGGGTCGGTGTAGAACGCAGGGGAGTAGAAACTGGTCAGGCGGCCAGTGATGGCATCGTGGCGTTTCTTAGAAAAGTCGGCGATCTTCCAGACCATGACGCCATCATAACTGGCGGTCTCTAGGGCTTGGATGCGGAGGTTCTGTTCCGCCATACTGACATCTCTTAGGGCAAGGGCGCGTTCGAAGGATTTGCATTTTCTTTCACTATTGGTCAGAGCTTCCCGGTCAAGACGCATTTGTCGGTCGTATTCTTCCAAGAGTGAGGCGCATTTCTCAATCTCTCTGTTCAAAACAGCAATGATTCCCTCAAAAGTACCAGACTTACTTTCCATCACACCTTCCCTCAGTTTCAGAGCTTCAAGGTCTTTTCGAAAAGATTCGGAGGCTGTTGCCTCTTGGTCCTTTTTTTTGCTCGTCAGTGAATCTACTCTTGTATTAACCTCTTGTGTTTGGCTTTCCAAGTTGTCAACATCACGCTGTAAGGAAGAGAGCCGTCGCTTCAGGTTGCCCATATGTCTGTCGTATCTGTCGTGTTGCTTCTGTTCGGTTTCCTCCAGGAGAGATTTGATCCTCTCCCGCATGAAGTCGAGGTGTTTCGGAACGTTTTCTTCATTATGTTGGTGTGCTTGATTAACGGAGAACTATAAATAACATTGCACGCTAACATATACTTTATCGGGTACCATGTTAACATATTCATTTTGATTTAAGGGTCAAAATGAAATGTCGACATTTATAGAAAATAACCTGGAAAACGGTCAGTTTTGTGGGTCAACAACAAGGGATTATTTTTGTGCCAGAAATGTCCCCCAGTAAAATCTGGTTTTGTTAATCCCAATAAATGTCAGAGAAAAACTACGAAAACTGCCAAGTCATAAATTGTATCCTATAACTATTTTATCACTAGCACATACCTTGTTCTGACATCCATACTGGCATACTATCTTGTCTTTGGGACAGTTGGTTCGCTGGTGTCTCACTATCTAACACGAAAACGAAAAAGATTATTTTCAATAGGCTATTGAAAGCATGTTTTTTCCGACAATTAGATGAGCGGTAACAGCCATTGGACCTATAAATATATGAACGAAATATGACAGCGTTAAAATGTACCTTTAATATAGAAATTATTTTAGCAATTTACGAAATCAAACCAAAGCCGTTTGTGGTAATTGTATCATAGTTTTACACGTAACTCCTAGAGGCGACAGTTAGTTCGGTTAAGTATAGGACTGAATGCATCCCAGGTAAGTCAGTCGTTTTTATAACGTCACCGCAACGTTTATATATATATATAAGGTTACGTTATGGTAACGTTATAATAACTTTCTGTGTTAAATGGGATATGTTTTTCTATCGCACTTTAAAACAAGAAATACTAACCTGATCTCTCGGTAATTTTTTCGTGAGACTGTCGCACATGTCGCAGCGAATAGGGAATTTGGGACACGTTCCATTATGCTCCTACAAAAATATATTTAAAATATATATTTGAAATAACTTCTCTGCGGGTAAATTGACAACACGAGGTCGAAGTTCGGCAAATTATGTTTCTGGCCAAGAGAAAAACAGAATAAAAATTATGATAAAATATCTATTCTAAATGAATATAATAACTCCCTAAAAGTAATGTTATTAAAATTCTTACTAAAATATTTAAGCTACTCTACATGGATGCCATAATGTCCAAAATAAGAGTCAGAAACAGTGTGCTCCGAGCCTCTATTCTCCCATAGCCCTCCTTTAATACCTTGTTTCTGTTAGCGATGAAAGACTTCGGACAGTAGCGACATTTAACGGTTCTCAATGGGCATTTGTCCTTCAGGTGCTTGTCCACTTGGTTCCAGGGTAGCTGTTGACCACAATTATTGGGGCAGCTGGACACGCGGAAAGGACATGAATTTTCGTGATCCTACATTAAATTAAATCATTAAAAAAACTTTCTGTGCCAGTCGCAGACCAGATCAAAAAGAAAATTGCCATTTGTTACTTCAAGCCTTGGGTATGTGACTGCGATTGCCGAATTATTAATATAGTAGCCTACACACAGAACGTGCGGAACGGGAAGGTGAGAAGACTTGCGGTTTGCAGTTATACACAACAGCCCCAATACCAAAATAAAACATATAAAATTTAGCAAAATTCAAAATAAGAGCACATGATTTAGAAATCTTACTGAGCAGATACCAAAAAACCAAAGAAAGTGCACCCCCCCCCCCCGAAAAAAAATGAATAATAAAAAAAAAAAAAAAAAAAAAAAAAAAAAAAAAATAAAAAAAAAAAAAAAAAAACGT